TGTTTTTTTTTTTTTTGTGCAAGGAAGGGGGGGGGGGGGGGGGGGGGGGGGGGTTCGCTTACAAGATGAGCAAAAATGTTCATCTTTTGTTGTTTTTGTGTAACACCAAATTTTCGATGAACATAACAAAAACATTACTAAAATTGAGAGAACAATGTGTATATGTTTAGTTTATATTCTCTCTTATAACAGTTCTGCTAAGATGTTCTGGCATTAATATTTATTTTCTATTTATTTTTACATATAATTTTCACCATGTACCCTATAAATGAAAAAGTAAACGTCTTATTTGACCCATTTAAACTCCAAGACAACTTTCACTCATATTTTTAGAATTATAAATATAATCTCAGTTTTAACTTTAAGATTTGTGCTTTTGGCTATTCTTATCTGTCATGATCCGTGTTTTTGTGTATTTATATTAAGGTTTTTCTGTGATCAGTTTCTGTCCTGTGAGTCTCTGTTGTCTCTGCTCTTCCCCATTGATTGTTCCCAGGTGTGTCTCGTTCCCTTGATTACCTTCCCTGTGTATTTAAACCCACCTGTTGTCTTTATCTCTTCTGGTCCTTGTCGTTTGCATGTCGGTCTTACGTTAGTTGTTTGACGTCTATGCGCTCCAGTAGAACTGTGAAGTCCTGGATAGCGTTAGCTCCTATTTCCAGTCCTCCTATCAGTTGCTACCGGTGTTTAGCTGTGTGCTAGTCTCTCCACCGTGCTGCCTGTTTTGGACTGTTCTGAGCTTTGTTATTATTAAATTCAACATCATTATCACCGTAACCTGGGTCTCTGCGTCTATCCTCACCACCACGCACAACCACTTTATGACATTATCCTTCTGCTTCTGATTGGAGATTTTGTCAATGACCCAAGTCATTTTTTGATAAAAGATACATTAGTTTTAAAATATAATTTTTTGTCAAAAAATGACTTAGGAAAGTAACGATTTAGAAAAATGTCATTTTATATCAGTTACTATTGATCTTAGTAACACAACTTTCAGCTGGTTTAAATCACATTTCAGCTGATCCACTTCATATCCTTCCTCCTGCAAAGTTGTTTCCAGTTCCATCTGGCGTACCTCAGGGCTCTGTTCTCTGGCCTTTCATTTCAAAGCTCCCTTTCCTTAACTACATTTTCTTCAAATAAAGTGTTGATGTTTCTTGCTAGATGAATGACACCCAAATGTATTTCTACCAAATCCAACCATATTATTTTCCCAACTATTTCTGTAGCTAATTAATAGAAATTAAACCTTGTTTTTAACCTGTTTCTTAAAACTTAATAAAACAGAATTCATCATCAGGGTGGAAAACCATCACCAACATTTAATATGACAGTTTTTAATTATTAACTCAATAGCTCTTCCTTATAGGTTGAGGAGTTTGTGTGCTTCCTGCATCAGAAATGTATAATTTCTTTTTAAAGACACAAAACAATGAACATATTTTCAGCTCTGTGACATTTTTCATCTTCGCTCATCGTTTTGTCATTAAAACTCTCTCCATTAATCATATCTTTCTGTGAAGCTGTTTTTCAACAGCTTCTTTGTCTACCAGTTAAATTCCTATTGATTACAAATTTCTGCTTCTCAGTTTTAAGACCATTAATCATAACAGCTTCTGAAGATCTCTTGCACATCAGCCACGCACAATCAATGAAACAACTAACATTGTTTAGTTGGAAAAAATTATATATGCAATAGTTTTTATATTTCTCGACTTGTTCTTGTTAAGAACATTCATATTAACAGCATAAAAAATTAGAAATGCACCAATATGAAAAATTGGGCTGATGTCGATATCCAACATTAATATTGCTGTAATGACCGATAACCCGACATTTGAAATTTGACATTTTTATTTATTTTCAATAATTTTTTACCTTTAAAAATGACTGTAAAAAAAGAAAAAAATATATTACAGAAATAAATTTAAATTCTTATCAGTGGCAAGAACACAAAGTGCTTGAACACAAATATATTGTATATAAAGATATACACCTTAAGTTAGTCCTCCCACAGTCCTTTGCTGCATCACTACTGCTATCACATGACCACATGACCGTCCTCCTTCCCTTCCCCTCCAGAAACAAACGGCAATAAGATGGAAATAAGTACCAGTTTTACTTATAAGTACCAGTTTTATTTATAGAACCGATACCGATATGTTGAAAAATAAGACCAACATTTTCTGATTCCGATGTATATCATGTATGCCTATAAAAAGTTGTTGCAACTTTTTACATAATTAGTATATGAATTAACTGCACTTTAAAAATCCAGCAAAAAATCTTCGTATCCTTCAAAGTGTTTTCCAGAATTTGATCCCGTTAGTCGAGGCAGTGCAGCTGTTCTACATGTTATGACTCAGCCTCAGATGGCTGATTTTTCTTTTTTTTAATTTTGATACTAGCGTAGGGTTGCATCTCATTGTCCATGTTGCCAAAGAACTCACTGGTTTACTCCAGTATTCTTCAGAGGGACTCCGAGCCATCTGACATGTTAATGTTTTATACTCCCAAACACTTTAATGAACATGTTAGCTGACGGTGATGGAGATTTATTAGGATTATCCGCTTCCTTCAAAGGAAGCTGGAATAACCATTAAAATGCACAGGGTTTTCATGAATAGTCATGACTCTCACTTCTAGCGGCTGTACGCACATTATCCACAACAACAGGGGTGAAGACAGGGCAACTTATGCTTGTTTAGTATGCTAACCACAGTAGCAGCTAATTGCCTTCAAATTACCTTCAACGTGATAGCAGAAAAATGCTAAATTAAATCAAAGCTGTGTGTAATTAGAAGTTAAATTCTACACCACATTTCTTGTGTTAGCTTACATGAGCATTCTCCTTGTCTGCTTTTTACATGTTGTCACATGTTGTATCCAATTAAGATTTCATGAGAGAGGCCAACACAAAGACGTGGAAAAACTCTAAAGTGAAAGGAAAGTGTGATAGAGCTTTTTACAATACATGGTTTTAGTTACTTTAAAACTCCTAAATGAAATGCAGTGCAGCAAACTGTCTTCAGATTTCACACAGTTGTAATGGAAACGCAGCTAATGTGGAAGGACCAAAGAACCACTTATGGCTCCAGCGCCACAAGTTGAATACCCTTAGCCTATCCCATAAAATGTCCGCAATGTATAAAATTTAAAGTGCCTGAACTCTTTTGCAAGCAATTTTATTACACAAATGAAGATCTACCGTAAAGAATTAAAATCACCAACTGTATGCAATTGCTAATAATTTTTTTTGTCAGGTTATTTCTCCCAGAAAGTTCAACCTGACAAAGTGTTAAGTCGACCTTGAGTTGATCAATTAGTAACTTTTTTTCCCCCACGTTGAAATGCCTTTCCAGAGCAGCAGCAGGAACTGTCACTGGACAGCATCAAAACCTAAGCAGATGACAGATCGGACAGATACATCTGTCTGAAAAAAAAAAAAAAATCAAATAAAACCTGCTTTAACATCTGCTGCTGCAAACATGGATGCCTCCAGTGACAGGCTTTTCTGCTGTAGATGGGTCCGCAACAAGGTTCCCACGGCCTGCAGAGACGAGCTCTACCACATCCTGAGGATGACGGGGCCTCTGGTAAGAAACGCTTCAACTCATATATTCATTTTTGAGTGGATCAAGATTTTTCTAGGAGGAGATTGAGTTGTAATGATGTGTTTTTAGTCACGGCTAGATTCATGCTAAGTGGGGTTTTCCTGACTGTGTGTGCGTGTGCATGTGTGTGTGTGTGTGTCTGTGTGTAAAACAGGTTTTTATATCCTTGTGGGGACCTATCTCTTTCTCCAATGTGAGGTTGTGGGGACCACTGCTTTTTATGGGGACCTTTCTTGGTCCACATGAGGGAAAATGCTGATTTTGGGCTAGAGGTTGGGTATGTGATGGCTAGGTGTTAGGGTTAGAGATTGGGTAATGGTTAGGCTGTGGAAAATGATTGGAAGTCAATGTAAAGTCCCCACAAGACATGAAAACACAAATGTGCATGTGTGTGTAGACAGCTGTGCAGAGTAATTGGAGTTATAATAGATAGAATATGAAACCTTATACGTGTGTTGGTGCCGCCTGCTCCATGAATCATGTTTGTATTTGTAGCTACTCTCCAGAATTCTCCATTACCTGCTTCCATTTGTTGTCACAATGTTCTGCGGGCGCCTGGGAAATGATGTGATGGCTGGTTATGGATTAGCCTCCGCAGTAAGTGCTCGTATTCTATCATATTTTTAAAATAAGGTTTGGAAGCATAAACACAAAAAAAGACAGAGATGTGACTCACGTTTTACTGACACTGCTTAAAACTAATGTTTAAATCAATATAAACTGTCATAAGTAGCAAAAATATTAGCAAACAAACAAGGACCGCCTAAGTAAAGTGTACAAAAGTATGCTTTGAATTGATTCCAGGCCATTAACGTTACCACGGCAGCCACGGGATGCGGTCTGGGACTGGCATGCGACACGCTGGTGTCCCAGGTTTGAAAACTTGGTGTTAATATTTCTTGACTCGCTTTTAACTGACTTCACATCCTAACTATTCATTACTGTGCTTCGCTGAATGATTACTGCTGCCTCTGCGGTGCTGCCAGACATTCGGGGGTAAGAACCTGCTGCGGGTGGGAGTGATCCTGCAGCGGGGGATCATCATCCTGATGCTGTTCTGTCTGCCCTGCTGGGGGCTGCTCATTAACGCCGAGGCCATCCTGCTGTGCTTGGGGCAGGAACCCGAGGTGGCAAGGTAACTACATGCAGCTGAGGCTGCTCAAAACACCAAGTCATTCTTTATTTGTAGCAAAATGTGAACTATAAGATTAGCTCTGTGTGCTGAAATATTGCTGTAAAAAATCTGGTAATTAGTTTTAAGCACTGTTTCTTATTTCCAGAATAGCCCAGCTGTATATGACAGCTTTTATTCCTGCAGTACCAGTAAGTTTTTGCCTTTCTTTGACACGTTGAGCCTTGACTTACAGACCAACACAAAATTAATTTCTTTATTTGCATGGTGCCAAATCACAACAAATGCTGTCACTTAACCAAAAAAAATATATAAATAAAAAATTCAGTTCAATCATGCATACAAAAGAAGTACATAATTGTGAAGTGGATAGAAACCAATAGCTTGGTTTTAAAAACTTTTCTCAAATACAAATTGAAAATTCAAATTGTTGTGTGCATTCCTATCCATTACCTTTTTCTCAGCTATACTAAGGAAACAACTATCAGTTAACAGGAGTCAGTAGGAAATGAAATATCTCACACTGTGCAGCCTATTCAATTAAATTCAACTGAATTGTTATTTTAAAAAGTTTAAATAACAGAAAATAATGCAAATTGCAGAGTTGTAGAAGAAGGAAGCAGAGTGAGGAAAAGTGAGTTGTCAGTTTGTCGTCCAACAGCCTAAACATATAGCAGCAAAGAGTTTATTAGAAAATGGAACAACTGCAAAATGACCACCACATGTTAATCCACTGGTACCTCTAGAGAAACTTGAGAGATCCATACTCACTTGGATCCTTTTTTCAATTTGAATTTTTGGAAGAGCAAACAGGTGGAAGAATATGATCTTGTCAAAAACAAAATACCAAAATGAACCTCGTCAGTCCCATCTGGATGTTTTCCTTAAGAAGGGACAGGGAAGCTGATCAGAGTTGAAATGTAGATATATGGAGCTAAAAACATGGCAGTCCTGCCACAAAGCCAGGGAGAAACTGCAAGGAATTTCATACTAGGCAAATGTTTTACCTTAACATCCCTAAACATACAGCCAAAGCTACAAAAAGAATGGCTTAAATCCAAGAATCTTTAGGTCCAAATTATCATCCAGAGCTAAATTTTATTGAGATTCATCTAAAGGAAGTTCATAGATGCTCTTCTTTGAAAATAAATAAATAAGTTCCTGGATGGCTAAAGCTCATAGACACATGCATACCTCAGAAAAACCAATTGTAGCGAGAGGTACAAAGAACTGACAAAGGGGTTATGAATAATTTAGTTAGGCTCTACATGCAGACCCTATCCTGCCTACAACGCCAATTTTATTCTTTCCTTTTCTCTTAGGCCATGTTTCTGTATAACCTTCAGGTGTCCTACCTGCAGAACCAGGCAAGCTATGACGTTGTATTTATTATTTCTATAAGAAAAATGTCGTCTTAACTTGTGGTGCTACTACCACCTGCATGCTTGTGTTTTTAGGGAATAATCATGCCCCAAATGTACACTGCTTTGTTGGCGAACATTGCCAACCTGACAACAAACTACGCCTTCCTTCACTGGATGAGTCTGGGCGTAGCGTAGGTGTTCCTTACACGTCCCAAAACATTTACTCACAATCACATAAGGTTCTGAGTGTGACCCGACTCTCTTTGCAGTGGTTCTGCAGCGGCCAACACTCTCTCACAGATTTATATCTGTGTTTTTCTGTTTGCCTACATTTGGTGGAAGAAGCTACATGTGAACACATGGGGAGGTGAGCAGTAGGTGCTTTGACCTACTGTCTTTTTGTTGTTGTTTGTTTTTGGCTTCACATAACTCATCGAAGGATAAATAGGAGTCTTTCTCCCCCTGCAGGCTGGTCTGTGGAATCGCTGCAGGAGTGGGGATCCTACATGAAGCTGGCCATCCCCAGCATGTTGATGGTTTGCTTTGAGTGGTGGGTGTATGAGTTTGGGGGATTCTTTGCAGGTAATTTTGCAGCGGACAGCCAGTATCAACCAGTTCACTTCTGTCACTTCTGAAAACCAGTAGCAGAGACTGAGGGTATGAGGAGTCATTTTTCATATTTAGGAACACTTCATGAAGGCGACATTAGTTTGGTCATTAGCTTATATATCTGAATTTATTTGAGGATGTTGTTCATCCCTTCACATAATCAGAACAAGTGCAAACTTAACTGTTTTGGTAATAAAGCATGTCCAAACAAGTTGTCAAATGACTCAACTTACCCCCAAAACTACAATTTCAACTTTGTGTCCAGAGCTAAAATGTTATATTTTTATATGTTGTAGCTCACATATAGCACAATTGACATATCAAACAAATTTTGAAAACATCTGAACACGATTCTTATGAAACTTATGATTGACAAAATTCACTTTTAAGAGTGGAAATGTTTTTTTTTTCTTCTTTTTTTAAGGAATAAAAGTCTAACAATTTTACCTTCACAATCGCAATTAACTATTTGGTCACATGATCAATGTTGTCTAGCAACAAGGAGTGGCTCAACTTACCTCAGTCTCTCCTTTATCTCTCATATTTATTACTTTTTGTAATAATCAGGAATGCTGAGTGAGGATGAGCTGGCAGCCCAACATGCTGTGATAATGATCGCTTTCATCACTTACATGGTAAGGTTTATGGCATTCTAAAATCTCACATTTTAGGGAGTTGAATCGTAGATTTCTCAAACATTAATTGGAGATTGATTTCAGCATTTGCAGACAAACCTTTTATGTGTTTATTTTAATTATTTTTATGTTATTGTTTATTTAATAGGGATGATACATAAAGTAACATAAATCAAGAGAATATGTTGCCTTCATCTTTATTTGAATTTTCATTGACTATATAATTGCACAATTTGACATTTCAAAGATAAATTCATAACATTTTTTTTCTTTGATTAAAACTTTTTGGCACTAGGATGGTGTTTTTTGTTGTTGTTGTTTTGTTTTTTTTGTTTGTTGTCCGTATTGAAATTTGTTTATTTCACAAAACATGGAAACACTTTTTTTTTTTTGCTTCACACGAGTCCCGTGATCAACAGCCGGACATTTCACCAGCACAAACCACGAAGAAGATGACAACAGGAAGTAGATGGAGGATGACATAATGACTTATCACGTTAACAAACTTATTCATGTGTGATTTTAGTTGCATTTCTTATTTAATGGAAACACTGCAATTGTGAATATTTTTTTTCCACATTAGCGTAATGTTGACAAAGTTGGCTAGTTCGCAACACTCATTGCTTGAAGGACTTTTAACAGTAAACAGCAAGTACAATAAAATTATCAAAAATGTACTAAAAAATACTGAATCAAAACAATTACTTTTAATATTAATATTTAATATTAAATAACCAGTGCAGTTCTGGGTCATCTTTAGCCAATTGTTAATGACTGATATCAGTTATGTGTTTTATTTTTCCATAATTTGGGATCTGTAGTTCCCTCTTGGAATTCAAGCTGCGGCCTGTGCGCGTGTGGGTAACGCTCTGGGTGCAGGAGACACCGCCAGAGCTCTCCTCGCTAGCAAGCTGTCGCTCAGTCTGGCAGGTGAGGTCAAACATTGGAAAATGAATCATATTGTTTTCATGATCTTCTTTATACTTTTTGATAAATTTGTCATTTCTTCTGTTATTTTTCAGTTTCCTTTGCTCTGGTTGAAGGCGTTGTGCTTGGCTGCACTAAAACAGTCATCGGCTACATCTTCACCTCTGATGAGTGAGTATAGTTAAAGCTGTAGTATGTGACTTTCATTTAATTTTTTATTTTATTTTTTTTTACATATTTGTATGTTGTGACAGAATGTCATGAGACATACAATCTGTGAAAAGTTCGATCTCCCTCTCCTTCTCCCTGTGCTGAAGAAATGCACCGCTCCTTACCAAAAACAACCAATCAGAGACGGGAAGAGGGTCTTAGCGCTGTCAGTCATCCTCATGAATGCGCTGCTAAATGTGCCACTAGAGGAGAGGCAACTTACTGTGACAAGAAAAGCATTTTCCCACCTTCATCAGCGGTCATGCTAACTAGCCTGAACATTCAGAACAGGCTATGCTAGCTGAAACTAGCAGAGAGCGTGGGGTTACATTAAAAGATAAAAGTTACATACTGCAACTTTAACTGTTCTCATTTGTAAAAAAAAAAAATCTTTCTGTAATGGAAAGTGAATATTTCAATGTAATCCTTTTTTTTTTTTTTTTTAGGAATATTGCGAGAATCGTGTCAGACCTGATGACTGCATACTGCTTCCTCCAGCTCTTTGACGGCCTTGTGGTGAGTCACTGCATGCAGAGCAAATCTGTTTGCCGTACTGAGTCAAAAGTCTCACATGAGCGTCTCCTGTCCTCTCAGTGTGTGTGCACCGGCATCTTCTTGGGCACAGGCAAACAGAGGATACCAGCTGTGGCGAATTTCATTGCATATTACTGTGTGGGGCTGACAATGAGCGTGGTTCTGATGTTTGTTGCAAAGCTGAGAGTTTTAGGTAAGTCTGTGAAGTGAAACCGGCTTGCTGTTTTTGCCAGCGTTCGGGGCAAATTAGTGTTTGCACAGGAAACGAAGGTCGTAACAAGTGAGGCCTGCTGTGCTTCTGACAGAACCATTTGTCTTTTCTCTGCAGGCTTTTGGCTCGGGCTGCTCATTTGTGTTGTCCTGCATTCCACTTTCTACATTATTGTGATCTTCAGGCTAAACTGGAAGAAAATGACAGAGGAGGTATTCCATCTTTCTAGCAGTTTGACAGTTATTAGGCATATTGAAGGAAGGTTGATGGATTTATCAAAAATGTGGATGATATCAATATCAAGTCGGTATCGGTATCGGATTGACACTACTGAGATAAAATCAATTCTTTAGTTTTAAATTCCCTCTTGAAATGTTATTTTATTGTTGCGTTGTAGTCTCTAATCTCTACTGTAAAACAGATTTTGCTTTGATTTGCTCTAAAACAAAAAAATTTTAACACTTTATTTAGAAAACGTTTCAGTTTGTCATGGAAATATGATATTAAAGAATTTTGTGGACACCCAAAAATACTTTGTTTTTTGGGTGTCTACAAATGTATCCTTCTTCCTTCATTACACAATTATAAAGCATACAGTAAAAGGCTAATTACTTTGTTTGTTGGATGTCTACTATAAAGACACCCAATTTTAGCAAAACAATTCAAAGAAAAAAAAAGTGTGAAAGTCTAATTTTGATGATATACTTCAATAACAAGTGTTGGTATCTGTATTGGTATCGGTCATATTGGCTTGTTGTTGGATTGATACCAAAATATACAGCAGGACACAACTTTAGAGTGTATTGCTAACATACAGTGGCCTGCAAAAGCATTAATTCCTCTGCAATAGAGTAATAGTTGTAATGCAGGTTGTAATCGGAACGAGGCGAGCAACTCCATAGCAACCGTCATGACAGTTAAGTTACAGATACCTACCAAGATGGCTGTCAGTTACAAAGTTCCCAGAAATGTGATGTCACATGAGAGCTTTGTATTCAGTTCCAGTTCTTTTGACAATTCTATTCTTCCATAAAAGCCAGACCTGTGGACTGCAGGACTGGTTATATGAACAGATTCTCCCACCCAGGTTGTGAATCTCTGCAGTTTCTCAAGAGTTAGAGTGGCTTTTCTGACGGTGCTCTTCTTTCTCAGCCTGTCAGTTCAAGTGGACAGCCATGTTCTGATAGGTGTGCGATTTTGGCATTCTGCTTCTGTTTTCAGATGATGGTTTGAACATTTCTCTGTCAGATGTCTCAATGTGGGGATGTTTTATAACCTGACCCTTAACTTTTATGTTGTGTTCACTGGTCTTCTTAATTCTATTTGTTTTCTAATGTTAGAAGCTTTCACAGTATATCTGGATTAATACTAAGATTAAACTAGAACTGCAAGCAGTTATGAACGGGTTCCCTGCTCTCATGAAATTACTCACAGGGTCACCTTATTTACCAATTAAGTGGCTGTTCAAGACTTCTGGTAGCACTAGATTTTATTTAGGAGTATCTGAATAAAAGAGGTTGAATACAAATAAATGCCACACTTGTTTCTTTTATTGTAAAAAAAAAAAGAGAAGAAAACCATGTATCCTTCTTCCTTCATTATGCAATTATAAAGCATACAGTAAAAGGCTAATTGCTAAATTTTGTGCTTTTTTGCTTTTGTTTCCAGGCTGTAAAACGGGCCAGGAAAAAGACTCACCTGACTCTGTTAGGAGCAGATGACCCGTCAGACAACAGCACAGCTAACGGTCAAGCATCAAACAATGGAAATGTAAGTCAACTGCTATTTTTAAAGGGGCAGTATCATGTAAAACCGACTCTTTTGAGCTTTACATCACGTTATAATGTTAATCCCTCATCAAAAATGCACCTGGAGTGTTGCTTTGACTCTCATGCATGTTTAAGAAATTGTTTATTCTCCTATAGCAACCATTTAGCTCTGCAAAACGCTTGGGTGGACCTAGCTCCGCCTTCAAGAGCTAGGCTTGAAGGCGGAGCTACCGAACTAGCCAGCAGCAATTAGCGATTTACCTGCTGAACTGCACATCTGCTGAGCTCATCATACAAACTACTTCTCAGTGCAACGCTGGTAAAAATGTTGTTAAAGGGTTAATAGAGGAGCCATATTGTGATCACTTCCTGAAAGTGGAGTTTCAGAAAGAGCAAGAGTTCTTAAAGAGATAGAGACCCAATTTCAAGGTGTTAAATATCAAAGTAAAATTTCTTTACAGACATATACAACATTTTTATAGCTACTGAAGGTAACAGTTACTTTATTTACTATAAAATAACACTATCTGTCTGGAAAACACAATACTGCTTCTTTAACAGTCTAAGCTGATTTGCTATCAGTTCCCTATTTTTTTTTTTTTAGTCCACCGATGGGTACACACCTGTGAAAACCCAGCAACATGACGGGAACAGTGAGACACGGGTTGAGCAAGAGGTGAGACAGCAGAAGAGCGGCCACCTCTCCACCACCCAGCTGATCATCAGGCGAGGCCTCACCATGGTTACGGCGCTGGCCTTTCTGGCGGTGGGAACAGCCGTCCACTTCCTGGTCCCCTTGCCAGAGATGGGAACCAACTCTACTCTTGACGGGATCAACACAACATTTACTCCTCATACAACTTCTTCACCTGTCCTCTTAAAATGAAATATGGTATCTTAATTCTCAGTCAGATTTGAATATTTATGGACTGTGAGCCAAAGGGTAAAAAGTGCTTTCAGATTTTTTTTTTTCAAAATGAGGAGAATTAATATTGTTAGAAATAAAATAGAATGTTTTTCTCCAAGATATTTCCATAGACACTTTATCCTGCTTAGGACTTTAAGAGGTTAAATGGATGATCACATTTGTCACCTAACAAAAGACGAACTTAACCTTGATGATCCATTATGCAGAGATTGTGTCATGCTTGTGATTATGGGACTCCTCAAAGCAACTATAAAAATACCAAAACCTGACCACAAGAAAATGCATCTCTATTTAGCCTGTAATTTGTAAAAAAAAAATCTAAACACTTGTTTTATTTGAGCCAATAAAAACTAGTTGTTTTAAGTTGACATTGTCTGTCCTTTCAGTGTTCAATTTGAGTGTATTTGTTTCGTGGAGAATTATAAAACTTTTTGAGACCGTTGCCTAAGTTGTACTACCGTCTTTTGCCTGTAGGACACCACTAACTCTACATTCTCCTACAGTTGGAGCAAACGGAGGAAGGGAAACTTGGTAAGCAGCATTTTATAGTTGCTACAGACATTAAAGCTGCAGTATGTAACTTTTAGAAAACATGTTTGGTTTTAATGCACTTATTTATTAAAACTGTCACCATGACATGACAATAAAGTATGAGACAGATAATCTGTGAAAGCATGGATCTCCTCTGCCGCCTTCTGCAGCTCGGTCAGGAACAGCCAATTAGAGACAGGAGGCGGGTCTTAGCGATGTCAATCAAATGACAGCGCATCCTGAGGATGGTGGGGCCTCCTGTTTTTAAAAATCACACACTTTAAGATGGTAACATATTACGCTATGCTCCAATTCCCCAACAGTTAGCTGATGGCATTTGGTGAGTAAATGTCTTCATTTAACCTCGTGTGTCACAGTTAAAATTATTCTGAACTTTGTGGTGATAGTTCTGACTGCAGATGTGGGCAAGTTTATGTACCTGTATTACTGCAGCAAAATCCTTACACATAAAGATCAACACTCATCTGCCTTACTTTAAAAGTGTGTTTTTTTTGTCTTTCCCATCTTCCTTTATGATTGAAAGAATGTTTTGAGGGGGGCATTTCATCTTATTCCTGCATGTGGCATCAGGTCACATTAATTCTGTCGCCGCTGTACTGATTAGATAAGGAGCCAACCTTCGAATGAAGTGATAAAAATCAGATTCTTGCCAGAAATCCCCCTCCCCTCACCAGAACAAGTTCATTGTCCCTTACATATTTCATTACCTAGGTCTGAACATTCCCCACTTTCAAGTCTCTCCCCCCCCATTTCGCTCTCTGTTGTGATTACAGAGTTTTCTCGTCTTTGTTGTTCAATCTCTGTTGTTTCAGCCGGCTCTGGCCTACCTCCAGGGAAGCTGTGATCACAGCAAGATTTCCATCCTTGGCAGCATCCAGAACACAACAAAGACACGCATGTTGGAGGAAAAACAAGGGGCTGCGCTGGAGGGATGCACACTTGAGACATGGAAGCGTCCAGCGACAGGCTTTTCTGCTGTAGCTGGCTGCGCCGCAGGGTTCCCTCGCCCCACAGGGAGGAACTGTACCACATCCTGAGGATGACGGGTCCTCTGGTAAGGACCTGCACTGCCTGCATGCCCCGTTCTGACCGCGTAGGTTACACCAGACGATCGACGTTCTCGGCCAAAGAAAGACAGAAGAGGTGTAAGCCTTACAGCCAGGACAGTATCTGGCAGAATTTAGTCGCTGACTGATGAAGGAGCGGAAAGAAAATGCCATTGTCAAAGCTCATTTATCAAATCCAAAGCTGTTGACAACAATAATTAATTGCAACTTGTGCTTACTGTAATATCATCTGTCACTGGTGGCTGCTTCACCTTTGATGTTAGCATTTTTCTTTCCAGCTGCTGTCTCGAATCCTCAATTACCTCCTGCCTTTTGTGGTCACAATGTTCTGTGGGCGTCTAGGGAACAACGTGATGGCCGGCTACGGGTTGGCTTCTGCTGTAAGTGATCAGAAAAATGAAACAATGATTATACGCTGCCAAAACACAAAAAAGGTATTTTTTGGTCTACATTTTCTAGTGCAAATGTCTTCGTACACTTACTAACTTTTCAGTAACTTTTCAGCAAGATATAGGAGCATGTTGAGAGTCAAATATTCCTTTCTCTTGATGTAAAAGTGCTAATTCCACTGGCAGATTATTTACATTTATAACTTGGGGAAAATTGTTTATTATAAGTGAAATAATCTGCTAGTGGACCTGGCACTGTTTCATCAATGTTGAGGAGTTATTTACTTAAAACAAGCTTCTATCTTTTACTAAAAACGTACTTGTTTTATTTCAGTTGTACTAAAATATTTACAGTAGACGCTAGACCAAAAATACTTTGTAAGATTTCGTCATATAATATCCTAACAACAAGTGGACAGAAATGACGGTTGTTTCTAAATGTATTGCATCATACCTTTTGCTTTAAAGTGAAAGGAATGTCACGTAAAACACTGCGGATTCCTTTCAGACCATCAACGTTACCACTGCAGCCACAGGGTATGGTCTGAGCCTGGCGTGTGATACTCTCATATCTCAGGTCTGGAAGCCATTTTGTCATATGTCAGTTTCATCAGAGCTTCTTTCAGGTCTGGAGTTTAAAATGTGTGTGATGTTTGACAGACGTTTGGGGGCAGGAACCTGCTGCAGGTGGGCGTGATCCTTCAGAGGAGCGTCATCATCCTGCTGCTGTTCTGCCTGCCCTGCTGGGGGCTGCTCATCAACGCACAGCCCGTCCTGCTGTGTGTGGGGCAGGACCCTGAGGTGGCCAGGTACCTCACTGACATAAACATGTTGCACTGCGTCCCATCAGACTGTTTTATGAAGCAAAAATTAACCCTCTGTGGGCCAAGAGAAGAGAAGCGCCTGTGTCATCCAATGCTGTTGATAAAGGATGTCACTCGTGCGTCAGATTTACAGGTGTACCTGAAACACACAAACACAAAGGTTCCGCCCAGAATAAAAGAATGCATTTAATTGGTCAAAATTGATGTAACGAATTTATTGAAATTAACATGTTAATGTCCTGGTACCTTAGTTCATATAGTTTTCTGGAGCTTACAGCTCACTAATTACTAATTACAGTAATTACTGGGTACTCTCTGGGAATTAATTTTGTATCATATGTTACTTGAGATAAAGAACTCATTTTGTTCCCAAAACGTAAACTGTTGGTATAAATAAATTATCTCCAAGTTATAGAAACATTTTTCATAAATTACAGAAAGTAACTTTTAATTACTTCGAAGGCACAAGTCTGTTTTTTTCTCTATCTATTATAATGAAAAAATATACATATTATTCTCTTTAAAACGTGAACACCAGAGCTTTTCAATCTTGCATATGGACAGAATTTACCAAGAATTTTAAAACTGGAATTATGACCAAGAGTTTCAACACATTCACATGGAATTTGCTCAATTTCTCTATCAAGTTATTTTTAATGTATTTCTGTGTAAAATTCTACCCTGTTTATCAAATGATATTTTCTTTAGATTTGAGAGCATTTTTAAACAATACAGTGGAGATTTTTTAAAAAGACTTTTCAGCTGAATAAAAACCAGCTGTTTCCTAAGCAAACCCTGTTGTGTCTGTTGACAGAATTGCTCAGCTGTATATAACAGCCTTCCTCCCCGCTGTGCCAGTGAGTCACACATTTATTCTAACAAACACAAGCTTTCATTAATGATTTAATTTTTTTTACCAGCGTCTGTGTCATAAAATATTAATAGGACAAATAAAGCATCTTTCTTTTTAGGCAATGTTTCTACACAACCTTCAAGTGTCTTACCTGCAGAACCAGGTGTGTCCAGAGGTTTGACACAAACACTGCTTATTGAAATGTCGCAAATCTTGTTGAATTCATGCTGATTTTTTATTTTTTTTTTATTTTTTATTTTTCTGTTTGCGTACTTAGGGTATAATCCTGCCACAGCTCTACACAGCCGCCGTGGCAAACGTAGCGAATGTCGCTACAAACTACCTCTTGCTTTACTGCCTGAACCTGGGAGTGAGGTCAGCATGCACACTCATTTCCAGACAAATGTGAACAGGACGATAACGCTCACTCTCATTATCTCGCTGCTGCTTGTGCGTTACAGTGGCTCTGCTGCGGCAAACACTCTGTCTCAGATATACATCTGTTCTTTTCTGTTCGCTTATATCCGGTGGAAGAGGCTGCATGTAAAAACATGGGAAGGTGAGGGACAGTATCACCCTCAGCGGTCGAAATGTTTTGAGATTTTAAACAAATTTTTCAGACATAAATGGGTTTGTGTCGCCCCCTGCAGGCTGGTCTGTGGAATCACTACAGGAGTGGGGCTCCTACATGAAACTGGCCCTCCCCAGTACCTTAATGAAGTGTTTTGAGTGGTGGGTTTATGAACTTGGTGGCTTCTTTGCAGGTAATATAGATACCGCATAAACTCACATCGTATACAATGATAACGACAAAAAACATAAGACATTCCTGTTTGTTTGTAACAATCAGGAATGCTGAGTGAGGACGAGCTGGCAGCCCAGCATGCTGTGATAATGATCGCTTTCATCACCTACATGGTAGGACCGACTGGACCTCAGAGCAGTGCCGACTCGTTTTTCAACAGTTATCGACTCAAACACTTTATGTTGTAATTCCTGAACACACAGTTTCCACTCGGCCTTCAAGCAGCGACATGCGCTAGAGTGGGGAATGCTCTCGGCGCAGGAGACCACGCCAGGGCCCTTCTGACCAGCAAGGTGTCCCTCTGTCTCGCAGGTGAGTGAAAACGTTTCTATTACAGCTTTTTCCATTTCTCACGGGTGTTGCTTCTTAGATTCCTCAACTCTTGTCGTGCAGCTACCTTTGCGGTTGTGGAAGGAGTTGTGCTTTGGTGCTCCAAAACGGTGATCGGCTTCATCTTCACGTCTGACGAGTGAGTCTGGACAGCTCTGTTAGTAACAAAATCAAATGAAATACAGGGTCAAGCAACTGTGCTACATTTGCGCAGCAAAAATCATTTGTGGCGTTATGATTTTTAAGATTTAAAAAAATTCTAACAAAAGTGATATAAATTGTGCTAAAACCTTTGTAGCACCACTAATAAATATATTAGTGGCAAAATAAACCAAATTTGCTTGATTTTGTAAATGCGGTGGGACTGCTTTGATGACCTTTGGTGACCTCTTTGATGACCTCTAGAAACATTTATGAATATCTTTAAAATGACAGCAGCATAAAACATTTTTGCAGCATGAATGTTGGTGTCAAATTTTGTGAATTTGACGCCAAATTTGCTGAACAAAAATTTGAGACCAATTTTGTGTCAAACTTCACACCTTCACTCAGCTCTACTTACTTTTCAATAACGGTAACACTCTGTTTAAAACACTGTCACATACTCAAATGACTAAATCTTACTTTCAGGAAGATCATAGGTTTGGTCTCTCATTTGATGAATGCCTACTGTTTCCTTCAGTTCTTTGATGGACTTGTGGTGAGTTCTAATGCTGTTTTTCTTTTTTTTACCCTTAAACATTTGCACATAACTTCAGGAATGTCCAGCCTGAAACTGTCAGAAAGTAAAGCTGCATGCATACTGACATGTGTTTCATACCTGCAGGGGGTTTGCACTGGCATCTTCTTGGGCACAGGCAAGCAGAAGATACCTGCTGTGGCTAACTTCGTGGGATACTACTGCATAGGCCTTACACTGAGCGTCACTTTCATGTTTGTTGCTAAACTGAGAGTTCTAGGTATTTAAACTCTGGTACTTGTTTGTAGATTTCTTATTATGATTTCTTTTTTATGAGAACGAAGCCATTTTGAACTTACCCAAGTTGTTTTCTGCACAGGTTTTTGGCTGGGACTGCTGGTTTGTGTCATTTTGCAATCAACTTTCTACATTATCGTCATCTTCAGACTGAACTGGGAGAAAGTGACAGAGGAGGTATGGTAAACAGCACATCGCATCACATTGCACCCACAAATTTTAAAGTAGGTTATTGAAGTTCAACTTAAACAAGGAGGGTTATATGTTATTAGTGGCAAAATCAACAGCTGGGAAGAGCGTATGGGAAGATAGATTGAAAAAATTTGCTGAGAACATTAGGAACATAATCAAACAAGAACAGCAAACATTTAACCAACCTCACCAAGCCTACACCAGAGACAACATGGATAGATTTTTAGTACTTAAAGCTATGGGCTACAGAAAATAAATAAAAAGACGGAAGTATGATCATCTCTACTGCCACAGAGTGTCTGCAAAAACCAAAATTTTTTTTTTTTTTTTTACATGAAATAAACTGCAGTCACAGCAGAAAATAGTTCTTACTTTTAGCTATGAATGCTTCTGTTAGAGTCCAAACCTAAATCAAATTTGGAAACGGTGACAAAGTTTTGAAAATATTTGTTCACAAAGGCTTTCCATCCACTAGAACTGAACTCTTTGCAGAAATGATCTATCAATCTCCAAGTAGAGCCTCACTTGAAAAGACAAACAAAGCACATGTAATTACAGTAATGGGGTTGTGTACAATGTATTTATTCAGGTGTGCTAGCTAGAAATACCTTCTACACTTTTCAAGTTTTTATATTTGTACAAAAAAATCCCTCCAAAACAGGAAAACCATGATCACTTCTCAGTGTAGCACTTTTCTGTTGCTACTTGCCAATAAAGGACGTGGATGTTTGTGGTTGCGGTGTGACAAATCACAAAACAAAGTTCACAGGGTGAAAATAATCTTTCAAGGATCACATAAAACCTCAGAGTGAATGTGATCCTTTATGCTTGAGCGTAGAAACTTTCTGACGTTCTGTTCTTCTGTTAAAGGCTTTGAAACGAGCTCAGAAAACCACCAACATGACATTACTAAGCACCTCTGGCCTCGCAGACGCTGAGGGAACAGGTCAGATGGCCTGGAATGGAAAAGTAAGCACACTCTGAAATTTAAAACATTTTTATTTATCAGTTTAATTTCTTTGTATAAATTAACACCCATATTTTGGTCTTTAGCAGAAGAAAATTAATAGAAGCGTGATGGTATTCTTTTCCACAGTCAGCAGATGGATACATATGTGTTGGTACAGAGGATCAGGACGGACATGCTGAAAGGCCAGGTGGCCGTGAGGTCAGCCGGACAGACGGCCACCTCTCCACCACCCAGCTGATCGTCCGCAGAGGCCTCGCTGTGTTAGCCGCGGTGGCTCTGCTAGCTGTCGGAGCAGTCGTGCACTTCCTTGTTCCTTTGCCAGAGTTCCGGTCTGCAGAGGGCAACCGCACCGCAGCAGGTCGGATCAATGCAACGCATCCGCCTGATCCAATTTTCTCCACTGTGCTGGTCCCTAATGGACAGTCAAAGTGAGTCGGAGCTGATGTTCGAACAGTCTTCAGTTTGACTCAGCTCTCTCTGACAATATGTGACTGTAACGATCCATATACTAATTAGAGATAACTCTTGTCATTCTAGAGAACAATCTCGCTTTAAAAATCATAATCATGCTACTTTTGCTCTGTCTGTTTTCTCTTTGCTTCCTGCTGATCATCTTACACCTTTCCCCTGTCAGGCTGCGTCCCGAGTCGCAGACGTCTATGTTTTGCTTTCCGGTTGAGGCAAAGAACTTTGCTCGCTCACTGCAATGACACTTTACTCATAGTCAAGTTCGTGATCAGCAGGTTTATGATGATTCCAGCAGCCAGGATCAATAGCATCCCAGCCAGAGCTAAACCTCTTCGCAGAACCAGGCTCCTGAAGGAGGGCTGGACTTCCAGCGAAACCTCTTCTGTGTCAACCAGATACATGGTGTCTCTCACGCTTAGCGAATGATCTGCGTCTTCTGATTGGGGACCTGTTCATGGAAATGTGAAAGACACACATTTAGACTCTTTTGGAACATGATGTGTAACTGTTAGCTTGTCTGAAGCTTTATTAAAACAGAAGAGACCAGCTAATGAGGACTAAACAGACAGGAGTCCATTGTTAAGCGTCACCCAGAGACCTCGACAAAGTGATTCCAATGGTTGTGGAAATTTTACATGTAGGAAAAGCAAAGTAGTTTCTCCCCAGGTTAGGGAACAACAGACCATATTTTTACCCACAGAGAGAGCAAGGCTTTTGGCTGAGCTGCTTGCTGGGTATTTTCTGTGGAAGCATTGGGTTTGAGCTTGTTTACACTGTTCGTCAACATGCTTGAGAAGGAGCTGAGGGGAAGAACAGTTCTTTTGATGTGCCACAAGATACATGTGGAGACGGCTGGGTGAATGACTGAATGTAGTGTGAAGCACTTTGAGGTCCTCTGGACTTGTGTACAAGTACAGGCCTTTAGCATTTTTACCATGAGAAGAGCTGCTGCTTATTTTGGGGAAGTCAACTGGGGAAAGTACCTTCTGGCTGCCTTGTTGCAAACGTTTGTACAGTAAGCATTGGTAGTTATACACAATGCAGTTTGTACTTTCCCAGAATTAAAGTGTCGAGGTTTTTTTTCTTGAACTTAAACTGTACTTTCTGAGCTTACTTTCTAGAACTTTAATTATACTTTTTGAACTTGGAGCTTACTTTGCTGTACTTATAGTTCTTGAACTTAGAGGTTACTTCCCAGATATTAGGAATTACTTCTGAAAACCTGGCTTGTCTACTAAATTCTACCCCTCTTATATTTTTATATTCTTTCTGGACTGGAAAAATATTGGAGCCCCAGAGAGTGTCTTTAGGGATGTCTGGCTTTATGGGCTATTATAAGGATGACTTAGCAAAAATGTTTAACACAGTAAATTGTGTTAAACATTAGGGAAGTGAAACTTTAATGGAACATTATGTGCCGACTTCTTTTAATCTTTAACTGAAAATCATAACATTTGCAGAAAACGAGACATTTGTATGAACTAAACCATTCTTGAGACGATGCCTATGAAGCATCTGACAACTTTCCTGTGACTGAAACTTACATTTAAACCTGCAGTATAACTTGTTTCCCACCGTCTTGGTTTCACCCGTGCACACACAGTGGATGCTATCCAATGAATAATCATTTCCCTCTGAAGGTGATCACGTATCACTTTGTCTGTTTTCTCCTATAGGTGACCCTGGTCTGATGACCACATGATAGAAACCAAAGGAAAAGGAGAACTATTGCTCTCTTCTTTTCAAGCTTCCTGATAATACTGATTGTTGGCCTTGTTTAAGTTTTTCCCTGTTTGTTTGTTGTTGGGTTAAGGCTATAGATGGGAAACTGATTCTACAACCTTCTTTGGGCTGTTGTAGGTGATTGTTAATGACGAATAATCTGTTGTTGTCTTTGATTAATAAATGTCTGTTAGTCATGACTGCATTGTGTTGATGGTCTCATATTGGTCCACATTGATAGAAATCCTCTACATGAATGGAGAAAAGCAGTACAGCATCTCTTTCTTACTTGTGTCTGAAGAACTGCCCATCACGCCTGCTCTGATCCGAGCCTGAAAGATAAAATCATGTTTAAATCAAATGTTATTGAAGAAAAAAAATCTTTGATGTTTTAGAATAAGCAACATTTTAACTTGAAATGCGAACCTCTGTTGTAGCCGTCTTCCAGTTCATCCTGAGCAGATAGAAAATCAGGAATGTGGATTGCAGTGACACACAGATAAACAGCCCAGTCCATAGACCTTGGTAAAGAAAGATATTATACATCATGTCGGATCAATTTTAAAATCTAAATAAAGACTTAGAATTTCATTGTTTTGAGACACTTTTTAACTTTAAATCTTACCCTTTATTCCTTGTTTGGCAGCAAACATCAGGGGGATTCCAATAGGAAATCCGATGCCATAAAATCCCAAGAAGTAGCAAATAGCCCCAACTCTCTGTTTACCCGCCCCTCTGATGATCCCACCAGAGGCAGCCTGGTTGTGTGGAGTGTAAAAGAAAAGATTAGACTTCACAAAAAGTGACGTTACACACCCCTCTAAAAATGGTAGCTTCTCGTAATGTAAAAATTTAGACTGATTAGGGTGAAATACAGCAAAAGTACACATGGAGAGCAAAGGGAACGTTTACTCTAAAGGAACACAACCAGCGCTTGCCCAAAAGTCCTACAGCGTCTTTGTTGTTCCTGTTGGACGATTGGAAGATTCGCCAAAAAGTTTTTATCTTTTATCTGTGCCAGTTTTTGTTATGTCAGCATCATCAACATCGTTCTTTTTTACTGATCACTATTCTCACTTTGCCACAGAGTACATACACTGAAATGCTGTTAATTCTTTTGTAACCCTCTCCTGATTGATGCAAACTGTGGTTTGAGCTGCAATGCACATCTGAGAAAAGACATTAGTCTAAGTCATTTGTCTTGGTGGGATAAAATGTGTGCACACTTATGTAAACAAGTCATCTTAGCATAATCTTTTCTTTACTCTTTCACGTTAACAGATTTGTTTTTCAATTGAACACATACATTAAAAGGTCTAAAATGTTTTTCAGTGATTTACAATGATATAATTGTCATCACAAAGGCTTCAGGGGTATGTGCATTTTTTAGATCTGCTTTTCTTTGAGTATACTTTTGTGATCTTTTAAACATTTTTCTGTAGGAAATGACAAAGATACTTACAGACATGGCATCCAGGATGATGAATGGAGCGTAAAAAGATATAATTTCTGCAACCCTTTCCCTAATTTGCCTGAAAACAAAATTATATATAGTAAATATCACTGTAGTACTATTATGATAATCATGAAGATACAAAAGCTATTCTTATTAATCTCATTAACAAAAGTGACTGTTTTTCTTCCTGAAATTGCACAGTGTAGATCAGTGTTTCCCAACCCTGGTGTTTTAGATGTTCCCCTGCTTCAACACACTTGATTTCAATTGATGGCTGATTGGGGTGTGTTGAAGCAGGGGAACATCTAAAACATGTAGGTCAGTGTGCCTTGAGGACCAGGGTTGGGAAACACTGGTGTAGAGCACCTGATTACAAATAACACAAACCTTTGGACCTAGTTTTTATGTCGCACAGTATGTCAGCCAGGTTCACAGGTTTACAATTAGATAAGGCCTACTTTAATGCTCAAAGGCCAATCTGAGTCATCTCTTCAGTAGTCGAGCGTGACTTCACCTTTCACAAACAGGACTGACTCCAGTTGGTTTAATGTTAAACATGTACTTACTCATCATATGTGAAGATGTAAGAGATATGATTCTTCAGACACCCGATGAGGACGGCCAAGCAAACGGACACCGATCCTGTTGTAAAGGGCAACATGCCAAGTGAGCTAACAACACACACTTACTATGCTGCTGCTAAAGAACATGTATAGAGATTGTGGGAAAAGACGAACTTTTACTTTATTAAATCATGTTTTCACATATTACGTTAAAGGTTCCAAGCTTTCAGATCCTGTGAAAAAACTCATCATGTGAATGAATGCCATAATAATTTTGCTCAAGGCATCTAAATGGGGGACATATTATACCAAATTCAGAAATTTTACACTTTTTTATACTTCCATTTGGATTTCTACTGCTTATAAAGGCAGCCCAAGAGCTACCAAACATCGAAAAGCTGGTTTTCTTGGTTGTGCAGGAGGCTCAACTAATGCTTTTCAAAGATCTACAGTTGTATAATTTCACATCTGTTTGCACCCATTTCCACATGTGTCTAAATGTTAAATTGGGGTGGAGGGGAGGGACCAAAATGTAATTTAACCGTACTTCAACCACATTATGATGTTTACACTAGAAACTAGACCAAAACACTTGGCATTATCTTGTGTTTTTGCAGTAAAAAGCTCATATATATAGATTTTTTTTTTTTGCCCTAGCATTGACTCAGCGTTTTACTACAGATGATTGGATCACTTTAAAGTGTCTCAAAAAGTGAGAAAGAAGTCTAAATGCGTATATGATTTAAGTGCTCACTGACCTCCACAGAATATTGCAGCTTTCGCAGACAGCTTGGCCTGCTCCGTTTCTCCGGCTCCCAAAGCATTTCCGACTCTCACATTGCCTGCAACGCTGAAACCCAACGGGAACTACCACAACGTAAAAACGTTACCAATTTGAAAACCTTTTCTTCACTGCTAGCTTCAAAAAGCTCACCATGTAGGCAATATTTGCCAGTTGGTATACGACCGACTGAGTTCCAAGCTCAACCTCACTTATCAGACCTTTCAAACCGATACAGGTATTAGATTTCAAAGTTGTTTTAGAAAGTAAAACATCTTCACATTTGTAATTTGGGATAGGCCATTACCTGCCAGAAAACCTCCAATCTCATATGTCCACCACTCCACACACATCATGACCATTCCAGGAACAGCCAATTGGATATAAGATTTCCAGTCGGTGAGGCATTCTTTGGACCAGCCTATATATGACAGAAGAAAGGAAGTTAAATGCATATTATACATGGTTAGTGTTGTACAAAAACTTATTCAAACTCTTCAGCTCACATGGATTATATGAATAAAACACATTCATGTTTCAAATTTAGGCTAATTTATTAACAAATAAGATTGGCATGACCGTTAGGTGTTATGTATTCAATACTGACCACTCAAAGCACTTTAGACCAGAGCCACATTCACACACTGATACGCAGATTAGTAAGTAACATGTGACCAGACGAAGACAGAATTAAACCCATAACTAGATGTGTTCGGAAAAACTGCAATGGAAACACTTCTGTTCGCATCACACAAGTCACATGATCAACAGCCGGATGTCACAACTGGTGAAAATGATGAAAAAGACGACAACAGGAAGTAGTAGGAGGATAATGATTAGTTTTTTTTGGACAATGTTCAGCTGGCTCCACCAGAGCTCTCTTAGCATCACAGTTCATGAAAAATTGCGTGTCATTCAAGTGTATTGAGTCCACAGCTTTTCTGTAAATTGGCAGACTACAATAACCCAAAACAGTTATTGACACTCCCTGGTATAAGGGGTTTGTCACGCCAACGCCTGAATAAGACGCCAACCGCTGATGGTTGACAGATGATGAGTGCCAGCTGGCTTAAGTATCTGCTTAGCTGTTTAGCTGGCTGCTTAAGTGTCTGTTTAGCTAGCCTGTTTACATCTGTCACCACCATGCGTTTTAATGACTTATGTTCACAGTCTTATTCACATGTAATTTTAATTTTATTTCTTAATTGGTGGAAACAATGCAATTGCAAAATGGTGTTTGTTTTTTTACATTAACAGAATATTGACAAAAATGTGCGCACATTTGTAATGGAAACACAGCTTCTGTCAGCCATTCATCCATCTCTTCAGTTCAACTTCAGTTAATCGCCCCTTCCACCCTCAGTTTCCCCTGTTCTAATCAACCATTGGCTCCTTGTTCTGTAATTAACTCTTCAGCTTAAATATCTCTGTTGGTCAGCTCATCCTGTTTCTCACCAATCAGTTTCTTATGGTCCTGTAGTGATATGTAATTTTGGTTTTCCCAGTATTTGAATTCCCTTTTCAAGTAAAATAGTTTGTTTGCTGCTTTTCCCCTCCTGTCATTTGGGTCCTGCTATTCACCATTAAATAACATCACAATTATTTAGTCACCTGCCCAGGTTTTCTTGTGAAGACCTTTCCACATGATGTAAGCATAAAGGAATCCAGCCAAGGCAAACTCAGACAAAGTGTTGGCAACAGCGGAGCCCCTGAAGATCATATAAATATGCCCTTGTTTAATATGTAAATATATGCATTTGTGTAAAATACAATAATAAATGTGTGAGACACTCACGCTACTCCCATTTTCAATACAAAGAGCACAATGTAGTTAATGAGGGCGTTGAGCAGATTGACAATTAGACCTGTGATGACCTGCGGCCAGATGATGCCCTGAAATAAAAGTGCCACATGTTTTTAATTAGCAACTTAGCACGTTCAAAGTGACTTGTCTCCAACAAAGAAAGGACATAAGTTGATAAAAAATTCAATCGTATACACTCCATCCACCATCTGTAATCCGGCAGACATAAAAATTGATGGATAGAATTACTTTTTGTTCTCTTTTCTTTTTTATTTTCATTTCTTGTACCATACTCATTTAGGACGCTCTGACCTCTTTGCTATTTGAATTCATAGTTGACAAAACCCCTTTAAATCTGACCTGACATAATAAATTATCACATTTTGCACATCTAATCTTTTAGGAAACGGGACGTGAATCACTATATAGTTCAACTCCACCAGATCTAAGTGCAATATTTCAGCTTATGTAGGGTTAAAATAATGGACCTACCTGGTTCTGGAGATATCGTGATTCTAAGGAAAACATGAAAGTAGCCTGTAATATGACAAAAAAAAAGATTTACTGAAGTTGTTGGCATAATTTCAAAAGATCTACTT